CTCCCAACAAGCCCCGCCCTTCGCCCCGCCCCGCGCGGCACGTCGGGCAGCGCGCGCACCCCGGCAGGCCCCGCCCCTGCAGTCACGTGGGGCGGGGCTGGCTGGACCCGGGCGGAGCTTTCTTTGCAGCCCTCAAGAAGCTTGCGTTCTGGAGAAGCCGGCCGGCGGGGGCGTGCAGACTTCAGGTGCTAGCGGCTCTCCCCCGCTCGCTCCCCTCTGGCGGTGGGAGCTGAGTTCGTGCACCGAAGGTGTTTCTTAAGCACATTAAATTTTAGTAAACTCCACTCTTTCCAGTACCTTTTCAATGAATTAAAATATACAACTATATTTGACATTTGCATTATATGTGTACTCACTAGAATTTTTCCATAAAGTTGCTGTGTACTACTGTGTTACTATGTGTATGGGCTACTTAAGAGATTTTCTAAGGGTAACTGCCCACACTTTTCCTCGTGTATGTGTGTGTGTGTGTGTGTGTGTGTGTGAGAAAGAGAGAGAGAGAGAGAGAGAGAGAGAGAGAGAGAGAGAGAGAGAGGAGAGAAATACTGAAGATTGAACCCAAGGCTTTTGCAATGAACTACATCTCCAGTCTTTTTATTTTGAGGCAGGGTCTCTCTAAGTTATCTAGGCTGGGCTCGAATTTGCTCTCCTCCTGCTTCACCCTGCCCCCCCCCCCGAGTGTTGGAATTACAAGCCCACGCCACCACCCTCAATTTTGCCTCTTATTCTATGTATTGCGCCCTCTTCCTCCTCCATACTTTGTACAGGGCAGACCTCCAAATAACCTTACTAAATGGGCTGGCTTTATGCTGACTCCGCTCCAGGCCCTAACAGTAGGAATGGGTCCTGTTTCAGCCTTGTATAGATAGGAGCTGGCTGCAAAGTGCTTGCAGATTTCACAGCTTGGTGGGTCTGCTAGCGCCTGTTTCTCTCCCCTCACTCCTGGCCAGCTTCCGCGTCCAGATCCACCCTCTTTCAATTTGTTTCAAAGAATAAAAGCAAGGACAACTTGGGGGAAACGATAAATTTTAATTCCTGTCTTTCTTTACTGCATATCTGACTATGGTCACTTCAGAAACACAATCAAGCTTTTATCAGTCTTACCACCTCCTAACACCATCTTCTCTCCATCTGCGGGCATCTCATAGCTACTTCCTGTTTCGTTGTTTTTGCTCCAGCGCCTGTAAGGCACATGGGCAGCTGTTACCCTACGGTTCTTCTTTGAGGTGATCAACCCTAGCTCGCACATCCCTGTACAGGTGGGAAGCTGACTCATCCCTGGCGAAAGCTGAAGGGTAATGCATTTCCCTTCGAAGTGGTTGGTTCAAGAATGAGCATGTGATGCCACATAAATAAAGGTTTCTGGAGGCTTCTGACAAAGGTCTCCCACATTCTTTGAAGTGCTTCCATAAGGAATCATCCCCTGGGGGTGAAGTACAGAGCAAGTAGCCTTGTGTGTTCCAAGCAGCCATTGTGGATGATCTAGACATTGCTAAGACTCAGAATGAAGTCCATCCTTTGTCCAGCAGAGCCAAGAGACGGAACTTGAGTCCCCGAGCACATCACAGAGTCAACCTGAGACTGAATCAACTACAACACAAGTCTGCATTACCTCTGGACTTCTGGTTTAAAAGACCAGTAAGCTTTCTCACTGAACAAGGCAGTTTACACCATTTTCTATCACTGTCAGCCAAAGACATGTGATTCACGCATACCTCCTCTATTCTCTGCTTAGCACCTTGAATGAACTTTTAATTGGATCATATTATTCTCTCTTTCAGCACCCCAATGGCTTCCTACTGCAACTGGAATAAAATCCAAATTCCCTACTAGAATTGTACATTATCTGACTCACCTGCCCCACCTCTTTGCAAGTCATGGGTCAATCACGCCAACTAGAACAGTTTCGCTCTTTTCCAGACATGCCAGACTAGTCCCTGCCATTGGATCTTTGTACTTGCTGATCCTTCTACATACTTTTCCCAGATCGTTGTGTAGTTGACTCCTTTGTGTCGGCCTCAATTCAAATGAGACTTTCCTGATACCCGGTTCTCAGAAGCCTCTCCCTGATCACTAAGCATCCACTATCACCTCACTGTTTACATTTGCCTATAGCACTTGTCACTTTTGTTTCGTTTTGTTTTGTTTTGTTTTGTTTTTTGAGATAGGGTCTCACTGTGTAGTCCAGGCTGGCCTTAAACTCAATATGTAGCCCAGGCTGGCCTCGAACTTGCAGTGATCCTCAAACTTCCGCTTCCTGAGTGCTGGGATTACAGGTGTATGCCACCACAAATGGCTACTTGTTACTTTTTAAAATGTGTCACCCTTGTGATCGTCTCGGTACAGTAGAATGCCAGCCTTGTGAGGGCAAAAATGAAGCAAACATTCACACTGAGTGAACATTTGCTGCTTCCTTAACTAGAACAGAGAATTTACTATACTGCCCAGCACTATCTTGGTCGCTGCCCTGTGGCCTTAATCAGTGCCAAAGACTACTGATTCACCTGCTATTCTGTCTAAACAGCAGAAAGCAGACTAGCCTGAGTTAAATGCTTCCTTTCAACATAGGAACTTCAGATATGGCAGCAAAAAGACTCGGACTTTAAAGCTAGTCAGAAGCAAGCTGTAGCCCCACCTTTACCACTCACCAGTTGAGAAACCATAGACAACCAACCTCCCTCTGAATTTCACCTCCCCAACAGAGGCTAGAATAGTGCTCTGGCTCAGGATTTTCCTGAAGAACAAAGACCAAGTTTTGGGCGTTTGTTTGTTTGTTTGAGATAGACTCTTGCTATGTAGTTCAGGCAGGCCTGAACTCAGTATGAGCCCCTGCTGGCCTCAAACTCACAGTGATCCTCCTGGCTCCGCCTCCTGAGTGCTGGGATTACAGGCGTGTGCTACCATACCTGGAAAAACCATCATAAATGTAAAAGCCAAACAAAATAGTGCCATCCTTCAAAATTTTAATCACTTATCCATGAAAACATCAGCTACCCCAAACACTTTTAAGAAGACAAAGGTAAATTTCAGCAAATATTTACTGACCCCTCTTCCATGTGTCAGGCCCTCCACTGGTCAGCGGAGACAAGAAGTGACCAAGGCAAGTGTCAGCCCTGTCTGTGGATCTCAGAGTTGATGAGGAGCTTGCAATTCATTCTTACCCCCAAATTCAGAAGAGCATAGTCTCCACATGAAACTCCTACTGCACTTCATCTGCAAGTCCTTTCAGACAATGCTGACCTCTATTCTTCATATAGTGCAGTTTTTCTATATGCATCAACCTGTCCTGCAAAGGATGGAG